CCGGTCCGCCTGCTCTGCTGGGCGGGGCGGGGCGGGGGGATGCAGACAGAGGAGCAGTTTCACAGAATTTTAAACTCGGCCCCCACCTTGAAAATAATTTAATCCAAGTCCCCATTTTACACATAAGAAGACAGAGGCCAGAAAGAAGTGACTTGCATGTGCTCTTAGAGCCTTTAAAAAGGAGAACCAGGATTAAAACATCTGGTTCCCGATGCTGTCTGTCCCTCCATGCTGTTTGACTGGCAAAAATATATCTTTATCCCAGCAACTTACCATTTTGCCCCCCCAACAGTTTCTTCATCTTAGATATTGAAAATTTGACCTAGTTCCAGATTGATTGGTATTAAGATTTTTTAACGTGTTTGATATTTCCGAAAGAAATCTGACTCTGAAATAATTTCATACGCGTTTCGGTTAACCTACATGAATTTATTGTTTACGTAGTTCAGAATCCGAAATGCCTTCCTCACTGGCTCACTCGGTACTGAGGTTTTTTTCCCTTCTTTGACCCAAACTCATATTTGGAAGTCTTGTTGTTAGATAACTAGAAGTTTTGTTTCTGTTTGTTCATGTGCAAAAAAGGACATGAGATGACTTTAAGCCTTTGGGGAGAAAAGGCTTTGCACAGACTCTTATGCTGTAGTTTTCCCCCTCCTCCTATCTGTTAATTTTTTTTCTCTGAATCAGGACTTGTGTTGAGTGAAAGATTATTTGTCTTATTATTAAATTTATGGGTATGTTTCTGACAGGTTAGGATCTGTCTATTGAGCAACTGTGTTTTTCTCAGGCTGTTTTTATAACACACTGTTTTCTCCCGGCAGCACGCCTCTTCAGATGTGGAAAGAATGATCCTGGGTAACAAATGTGATATGAATGACAAAAGACAAGTGTCAAAAGAAAGAGGGGAGAAGGTAAGTGGAACTGAATGCGGAAAGATTGGAATCTACTCATGCTAAACATTTAATTATTGATTTAAGTCTGAAAAATTTGTATATTTTAATCTGTTAAAAACAACAACAAAAAGATGTAATCCATACTTGAACGGTATGAATTAGTATTCGAGATCTAGCTCCATATACTGTGTAATCATGACTCATTCCAAAAGAATTTGCTGTTTTCTGGGAGATAGAAGTTGGTCCTTTTTCAGACTCCTGCAGCTTAGCGTTCAGGCTATTTCTTCACTATCTATGTGAAAATGCCCAGTTTTGAAGTTAAAATAATTCATTCTCTTTGAAAAAAATAAGAGGAGAGGTGAAGTTTCAACAGTAATCATTTTCCAATTCATTATTTTTTTCTAAGAATATTTTACTACACATTAGATTTAAGCCATTATGGATAAACTCTCTGTAAACTTATCACACTGTGGTTATCATTTAAAGGTCATTTATAGGCATTTCTCTATTTTGTGCCCTGCAAGACAAGAGTTTGTTATATGTACATATTCATTTCTATGACATTTTCCAAATTGACTTATAGGCTTCAGTTTCTAAGTCTTGGAATTTTGCTTTAGCCTTTTTTTAGTGATACATGCAAAATGCATTTTGCTTTTCAATCTGACTGCAAACATTTTTCCTCTAAAAACAGTCCCTTAATCTTGGTGTTGTAAATGAAGTGGAAACTCTTTGGGGGTATTGGAAATGTGTGGGAGTTCACAATTTGCCACACTCAACAGAAACCCAAGAAATGAGTACTCAGTATTTTAAGCTTTTGTTCTGTAATGCACCAATTTATTTTAAAAAAATATGAAAAGTTGTATGATAATAACTGTTGGAGGCTTATAATTTGGGAGCAGATGAAAGGGGCAAATGAATCTCAAATTAAGGGTAGAGGTACACTTCTCAGTTTTTATAGGTGTATTAGAAAACTAAAAGTGTAATAGAAAAAAGAGAAGTACTTCAATTGTGTTTTGAGTGGAAGTGGTGCCATTTTATTTAACACTGAACAAAAAGGAAAAAATAAATAAATAAAAAGAAAAAATACTTTTGATGATGAAGTTAGATACCTAAATTTCAAACACAATAGAATAAAGCAAAGAAATTTGAGAACCACAGGAGTTCTGAACTAAGTACTCTCTATGTTTAAAAAACTTGCACTGAATTTAAATGTTTCTGTTTGTCTTTCAGTTAGCAATTGACTATGGGATTAAATTCTTGGAGACAAGTGCAAAATCCAGTACGAACGTAGAAGAGGTAAGAAAGGATGCTTGGTGGTTTGTTATGTAGTAGCAGTAGTGTCTTAAGGGCCCATGTTCAAGCAAGTCTCCCAGCCTTGCCATTTTCTGACTTAGGGAATGTCTTGTGGGAACCCCACTTCCGTTTGTAAACTGTTGCGCTTCTGACTTTCAGGCGGACCCTGGTTGTTGAATTTCAGCACCCATCCTCCACATGGGCTGTATTAGATTGCTCAGTTAAGAGTCACTGAACGGAAGATGGAAGTTCAGTTTAAGTTCAGCTTTGCCCTTTGTGTGGGAAGCTGGAAATCCTGCTCTAGCCGACCGAGCACAGTGTTGTCTGCTCATTTATCATCGCTCGTGTCATCCTGTAGTAGCTGGGAGCCGGGAGCCTTAATTACGTTCATGTCTGCACTCTCTCAAGAGAGAGTTAAACTGTTAGCTTATTGAGCAGATTCCCTTAGTGTACATATTTGAAGTTGATTAAGCCTGATACATTTTAACACAATGCATTAAGCAGAAATAAGAAAGCGTGTTTATCAGAGAGCAGTTTTAATAAATTTTCATTAAGTTAACTGTTAAAACCAAATTATCTAAAGTATTCGAAGAACAGATTTTCTTTACCAAGGGCAGAGTTGTTAATATTTTCTTTTTAAAAAACATTTTTTAAGCTGACCATAAAAATAATACATGTACTATGTGTTAATACAGGTAATTAACAATAATATTGATAGTTTCATAAACATTTAGTTTCTCAGGCTATTCACTGTTCACCCGGACATCACGGTTAAAAATTGAGGGGGAGGGTATAGCTCTGTGGTAGAGTGAATGCCTAGCATGGACAGGGTCCTGGGTTCAAGCCCCAGTACCTCCATTAAAAATAAAGACCTAATTTCCTTCCCCCCCAAAATAATTTTTTTTTAATTGAGACTTAGATGACTTAATGGACTAGTAGACACTGATCAGAACATCGTCTTTGTTTTAAATAACCAATACTCAGTTTTTCAGGTTGGCTAATGGGTGTTAGGAAACAGGAAGCCTCTACTGACTTACTTACTCAAGCATAGATAAGCAGAAAAATGCTTCCATCTGCCTGCCACGGAAGGATTTCCTTCCATCAGAAAGAGAGGAGCCTCTTCAGTCAGCTTTAATGGTGGAGACAGGAGCAAAGCTTGCTCACTGAGATGGCCCGTGTAGGTTTGTTCCCTCAGGATGAACTCCATACCCTGGCTTCATCGAGCAGTCTTCCGTCTCTGTTAGTCCGACCCTGATCACACCTGTGGCTTAGGGAGAGCGTTAAACTCTGGAAATACAGAGCTGGGAATTGCCCGAACTGCTTATTCTGGCCAGGTATCCTGCAGAAGTTAGCAGTTTTCCCAGAGCTTTAACTTAGCCTGATGAAACTGGGATGGGCTAACTTAGAAACTTAGACTTGCAGGTGAACGGTGTGACAGTGCGACAGACTGTGAGTGCTAACAGTAGTTACCGTATTGCTTGTTTGACCTGATTGGGAGTAGTCCTTTGGCTCGACATTTTTGAGGGCATCAGGAGCGATTGGGAGCCAAGAGATCAAGATAACAGTGGGTTTAGCGCGGAGACAACTGAAGAAGCTTTAAGAGTCTTGGCTCTGTAGAAACTCTGTATTAACACAGAAACTCTCTAAATGTTTGGTGTGGCTTTGGGTCAATAAACACCAGGCACAAAATATTACTGAGATTCGTCCTGCTTCTATTTGAACTGATTTCCACAGTGAGGAATTTAGCTGAGCTGTGAGAACCGTTGGGATTTTGGAGTGTTAAGACATGGAAGATTATATATTCTCAGGTATAAGAGTGAAAGCAATTTGAAAGAGAGGAGGTTGGGAGGAGAAGATAGAGAGTTTTGAGAAAACAGATCTTAGAGCCACTGGGTAATAACCAGCATCTCGCAGGCCAGGGACTGTGCCCCATCATGGGGACGAGCAGATGTCCCAGAACCTGTTCCTCACAAGCGCTCCTGGTCTGCTGAGAAAACTACCCATAACTCAACAGGTTCATGTTAGGAACTTGTGCCAGATAGTACGTGCAGAAAGTATTTGATGAATTGAAAGAGTGACAGTTCGATAACATTGGAAAACGTTAATGATACAATTGAAAAATAAGATACAGTGTTCATGTGTTTACTGTAGTTGCAATTATGTTCTTTTCTCAATTCAGAACTTTAAAGTAATATAACTATATTTTATAGTGAAATAATAAACATTTCTACATTTCTGTTTAAAAATATAAATATATAATAACGAAATCTTTGTTTACTCTAGGCATTTTTTACACTTGCACGAGATATAATGACAAAACTCAACAGAAAAATGGTTTGTATGACATATAATTTTGTTTTCTTATTTACATTGTTTATTTATTTGATTAAAGGGATAGGCCTGATTATAATATGTTCACATTAACTCATTTTTTTTCCTGACTTCCATTTTCACCTGGTTAAACTCTGATTCTTATTTCTGTTTCTTCACATTTCTTATTTCTGAACTGCAGCTGTTTCAGCTAACTCTTTAAGTGGTCTTTAATTGAATTTTGATCAGAATAATTAAAATAATAATAGCACAAATTAAATTTGTAATCACTCTATATCCGTATATATTTGATCTTGAAGTTGCTGAAGTTAGCTTAAATTTGAAACAATCTCAGTGATGAATCATTAGGACAACCTTGAAAGTTTGGTTTAAGCAGAATCTTGAGTATAACTGTCTGCGTTATGTTACCAGCTCTTCTTACCTCTAACAACAGGATTGCCTCTACCAGTATCTTAACATTGTTTCCATCATTACCCTTGAAACTTTATATTATTTTGGTTATAATTTCTTTGAACTGGAAATAGAAACTTTCTAACCAATACATTGTTAATATAGTAGGTACTGTCTTAATTTTTTTTTCCTATTTTAATCCACAATTTCCAAAGAAACAGACAACATCAGAGCTTAACTATTTCCCTTCCTAAATAAACATTCTACTCAGTACACATTTATGGCATGATTTGATATATATACAATTTTTTTTTACATAATTGGGGTCACACCGTGAAACTTTCATTTCCTTGGTAACTTTATCTTCTGTTTTCTAGAATGACAGCAATTCATCAGGGGCAGGTGGACCAGTGAAAATAACAGAAAACCGATCAAAGAAGACCAGTTTCTTCCGTTGCTCGCTACTTTGATGGACTCTTTCTGAGAGACTGCAGCACACCTAGAGGACCCTTTCCTGCTTCTCTGAAAGCACAGGCACCAAGCCTCAGAATCATCCCGCCCGGCTGCTACTGAGAGCACTGTTGAACCTAGACCTCCCGACACAGAACGCGCAGTGGATTCCAGCCTCACGGCGCATCAAGACAACTGGCTTCTTTTTTCAAATGTGGAAGCAATGAAGTGGAGACACGTGCCGGACTTAACTTGTTTCTCCTTTGTGTTATTGTGTGTTGCAGAAGCTGCTGTCTTTCTTTTTTTCACTTTGCACATCAGTGTTAGCCTTCCTGTGTTACAGCACAATCTGAGATTCATATCTGCACACTTTTGTCTGGTGAGGTTCTAGACAAATTTGTGCGTTTGGGGACGTTTAAAAAAAGAGTGGAACGTTTAAAGCAGAGGCTAATATGCTAAAATTAAAGGACGTTTGGTCTGGTTCCTATGGCCAAATGTTATTGCATTGATAGCATTTATTTAAGGGCTTTGATTTTTCTTAAATAAGAGTCAT